CAGCTCAATTTTGTTGGGCTCAACTTGGTTGAAGTTGTTTCATTGCTGTTCCCAGCCAACTGGTGTATTTAATCAATTATTATGTCATGTGGTTTGATTAAGTCAAAAATGACACTGGCTGGCTGCTCTTGTTGCAGATAACTGGTCCAGTTGCAGGAACAGAACCAACAATCTTGAAAGGATGTCATGGGGTTTGTTTAGTTTTATGGCATAATACCATTAGATCATAGATTGGAAAGTGTGTTGTTCAGGTTAATTGATAAATTATTTTGATTGAAGAGCTCAAACTGACCTGGATAATAGAATATTTGAAGTCAATGCTTACCATGCATTTAATAGCACAGGATGAGCAACAAGAGGATGATCTTGAGTGATGCTAGACAAGAATTGGTACAAAATTGTTTTCTGAGAATTTGATGGTTGAGAATTTGATGGTGTGTATATCATAGATTGTGATGGTAAGCTGTAAGGAGAGGGATGGAGCCATCATTGACAATACTGTGCCAATTCAAAAGCAAGGGTTTTATCCATGGAAATAAGAGGAAAGAAGGACAAGCAACATGATTTCAAGGGAATGGGAAAGAACATCAACAAGAATTGGGAGGGATGATCTGGCGGAAAATTGGATATGAATAGACAGGGTCAAGTGTCTCAGGCTCTAAAAGCTTTGGCAGGGGTGTCATCATCAACTAGAAATGCTGAAGTTTTGGGTTGAAATGGTGGAGTTGAATTCACTTGGATGGGGGGAAATGGAAATCAAAAGATGAACAGAACACGAAATACACATAGCAAGGAATGGAAACAAAAATTATCTCTCTTTTACTGTCAGTTCAACATTTTTAAATCTCCCTCATAACATCATCGTAATGAGCGCTGGGCTGATGATTAAAAATTTAACGTGGCTGTGAATTCTTGACAGCCAAGCTTGGGGCTTCTTGCGCAGGCATATTACTACCATAGCAGTAGCATCCTCCATCACAAAGGTCCTTGGAGGCAAAGATATCTTGATTAAAAACAGGTACCTTTGTGCATACCTCTGGCGACGAGACTGGTGTTGATTTCCCTTTGAGAACATTCCTTGTGTATATCCACACATGTATGTATTTTCCCACCAAAAATTCCCCCTTGATGTGGACTTGACACTAAGCTTGAACCCAGTGGCCGACGTCATCTTCCCGAGTTTAGGGATGTGTGCTCTTGTGCACAACAACTACAAAGTTCGTGATCAAGTTGGCTGGAGAATTGCCGTATGAAGTCATATTCAGCCCCACCCGCTCGTTGGGAACAACGTCGGAAGGGTCTGATTCGACGTGATCGCCAGCCTGACAACGAAACCGAGATTGTGAAAATAAAGTCAAATGTGCTACATAGGAAGCCCGCCGCGCAGGTAGCGAACGCTCAACAACAGCCACATCGGCACACAAATAAGTTGTGGAGTATACGGACGCCCCCAAGAAGGAGTGTCAGGAAGGGAACGTTGGATGTGGTGTTACCATGTCAGGTATGTTGTAGCGGTTGCAAGAGTCCACGGACACCAGAACCTCTCGTGAAGAGCCGGAAGCATTACAATATCCAGCGTCACCATCGAGAATTCATAGCGACGGGCTTTTCAGTCACAAACTGAGGACTACAACGAATTCTTCTGTGCCCACAGGGCCCTTTCTTGGTCGCAACCCTTGCCCCAGTGTTCCCCCGGCAAGGCTGCTTCATCCACAGGACCTTCTTTTTACTTTCGCGTTTACACCCATTTTCTCAACATTAGCTACCAGATTATTCCCTTTGTCCATACCCACGTTCTTCAGCAATAGTGTTCAAGTC